TCGAACCACAGTCAACTACATGGGAGTCCAGCGACATAGCCATTATACTAACTGCTGGTCCCAATGGATCTTTTTTTTAGTGCACACATGTACATGAGGAATGAGAAGCACCTTTGACAGGGTCTCATCACGCCACAATCTCCCTTTTCCAGACCTCCAGCTCCTCAGGATCTCGGGCACCCACATACACGTTCTGTATGTTTTCGGGTAGACCTGATGATCCAAACCTGCAGCTGATCACGTGGCTCCAGCCTTGTAAGGCACTGCATTCTCACTGCAAAACTGCAGCTGGGCTCCAAATGATCTATAGATTCGTTATAATACCAATAGCAATGCTCCCCAAATGGCTCTATACAGTCACTATATATTACCAGTCAGAACTCAGCATGCTGCTTTTTTTTTTCCTAATAGAAAAGAGAGAGATGAGGGGAAGGGTACATGGAGGGAATAAAGAAAAAGGGGCAAGAGAGAGAGAAATGTGAGTTCAGGGCTGTAGAACCAGCCTATTTAGGTTAACCTTAGGTTAGACTGGAATTAAACCAAAGCCACACAATTCCCAACCCTTCCATGTGGTCCCAGCCTGCAGTGCGCAGTGTTCTAGCAGCATACCACCACACTGGGCCCTAATCTTCATATTTTAAAACAACTGCAATTATGCCTACGTGACCAAGGTACACATTGAAAACAAATGCTTTACTCACTTTCCTTAGATTTCATAAATATTCTTTATCTCATGAAGGAAAACATGTTTCTAGTTACGTTTTTTTCTTTCTATTGCTAGCATGCCTAGCCAGAAAGAGACAGCATCCTGTGTCCCAAATGGGATGTGGTCATGCTACAATTCTTCTCCATTTTCCCCTTCCCTTCTCTTAGAATTTTGGACACACACAGAACACACGCCTTATGTGTTGTTTTTTTTTTTTCTTTTTTCGGAGAGGCTTTTGCTATAGAGTGCGTGTACTCACCAGAAAGACAGAGACATAGAGACAGAAAGCGAGAAATCACCCTCCAGAGGGGATGGCCACGCTGCAATCCCTTCTCCTCCATCCTCCTCTCGGGATCTTGGGCACGCACGCACACACACCTGGTGTGAGTTTAAGCCACCGGGTCTGGGACTCAAACCGTGGTCGACTACGTGCGAGTCCAGTGACATAGCCATTACGCTAACTGCTGGTCCCACGCCATATGTGTTTTTCAAGTTGGCAAGAAGTTTGGGCTTGTGGAATCCTGCTCCCTTACCTAGGCAATAAGGCCAGCCCTTAAATTACTTTTTTTTTTTAAATTATTTTATTTTGGGCCAGCAGATGGCATGGTGGTAAAGGCGTTAGACACTCCCATACGGCCAACTACAGTCTGAAAATAAATATTTTATTTATTATTAATAATTTTAAATTTTCTACAGGGCACATGTGCTGACCAAAGAGAGAAAGTGAGAAAGCAATCTGCCAGGTTCAGGATGTGAAGGGCAGCCAGCCATGTGGGAGTCTGGCACCTTAACCACCACACCACCTGTTGGCCCTTCAAATACTTTCTTTAAAGAATTATTTTATTTAACTTTATTTATTTGTTTATTTTAGTTTGACCAGAGAGGGACAGAGTGAGTGAGTGAGTGAGTGAGTGAGAGAGAGAAAGTGAGAAAGCAAGTCGCCAGGTCTGGAACTCAAACCAAGGTCAGCGATGTGGGAATACAGTGCCCTTAACCACCATGCCACCTGCTGGCCTCTACCTTTTTTTTTTTTTTTTAAGAGATTTATGTGAGGTTAGCAGGTGGTGTGGTGGTTAAGGCTACTGGATTCTCACATGGCCAACTGCAGCTTGGGTCCTGGACCTGGCGGCTTGCTTTGTCACTTTCCCTCTCTCTCTCTCTCTCTTACTCTGTCCCTCTCTGGTCAAATTAAAATAAATATATAAAGTTAAATAAATACAATTCTTTTAAAGAGAGAGAGATTTTTGTTATAGGGTATGTGTGCTCACTGGAGAGACAGAGAGAGAGAAAGCAAGAAATCATCCCCCACCCCCCCCCCGGGGGAGGGAGGTGGTCACACAGCAATCCCTTCTCTTCCATTCTCCTCTTGGGATTTTGGACACATACCCTCACATGCCTGGCATGAGGTTTAAGCCTCCAGTCCAGGACCTGAACCATGGACAACTACATGGGAGTCCAGTGATGTAACCATTATGCCATCTGCTGGTCACTCCAATTACTATTTTTATTTATTTATTTTTTTTTTTTTTTGAGAGGTTTTTGCTACAGGGTGCATGCGCTTACCAGGGAGAGAGAGACAGAAACAGTGAAACAGAAAGCGGGAAATCATCCCCCAGCAGGGATGGCCATGCCACAATCCCTTCTCCTCCATTCTCCTCTCGGGATCTTGGGCATGCACGCACATGCGCCCAGTGTGAGTATAAGTCACCGGGTCCAGGACTCAAACCACGGTCGACTACATGGGAGTTCAGTGACATAGCCATTACACTAACTGCTGGTCCCTCCAATTACTTTTTATAGCTGATGATTCCAAGTCTATACTTCAAACCAGCTCTCATATAACGTCCAAACACATTTATGTTTGTTCCAAATGTTGCTCCTTATCCAGAAATTCCTAGCTCAGTAAATAACTCCAACATCCAACTGGTTGCCAAAGCCCGAAACCTACAAACAGCCTTTAATCCTTCCTCTTATTTGCCTATCAACTCTACTTATTATGACCTATGTATTCCCTATATATCATCCCCATTATATTCTTTATATATTGTTACCTACCACAGGCCACATTTTATTTCTCTCATTTTTTCAAAGAATTTATTTTATTACTATTATTTAAATTTACCTATAAGACAAGAGAGAGAGAAAGTGAGAAAGCAAGCTGCCAGCTTCAGGACTCGAACTGCAGTCAGCTATGTGGGATTGCAGCATCTCGACCACCACGCAACCTGCTGGTCCTTCTTTCTCTCTCTCTTAGGTCACTGTAATAGGCTCTGAACCAGTTTCCCAGCACCCTTCTGAACACATCCTTTTTTTTTTGGTTAAAGAATGATTTTATCTAACTTTATTTATTTATTTACTTATTTACTTTAATTTGACCAGACAAGGACAGAGTGAGAGAGAGAGGGAAAGTGAGAAAGCAAGCTGCCAGGTCCAGGACTCAAACTGTGGTCAGCCATGTAGAAGTCCAGCACCTTTAACCACCATGCCAACTGCTGGCCCTGGCCCTGCTAGAGTGATCTTTTAAAGAACAATATTGGCCATGGGAACCAGCAGTTAGCATAATGGCTATGTCACTGGACTCCCACATAGTCGACCACGGTTCGAGTCCCGGACCCGGTGGCTTAGAACTCACGCCGGGCACGTGTGCATGCATGCCCAAGATCCCGAGAGGAGAATGGAGGAGAAGGGATTGCAGCGTGACCATCCACCCTGGGGGGTGATTTCTCGCTTTCTGTCTCTATGTCTCTCTCTGTCTGGTGAGCGCAAGCGCCCTATAGCGAAAACCCCTCCAAAAAAAAAGAAAAAACAATATTGGCCACGTAATTCCCCTCATTTAAAACTCTTCCAGAATAAAATCAAAATATCTTAGCCACGAAAGACTCTCCATGATCTGGCCCCTTGCGATCTCTACATGACTGCCCGGCAATCCCTCATTCTCCATGCCATATATTGATAGAATTACTTTCTATCCCATTAACTTCCTCCTGTTCACATGTTGGTCTGTCTTCCGAAAAATCTTTTCTCCCTGGCTAACTCTTTCAAGTTTCCGCTCCAGAGTAACCAACTCCGGTAACCAAATTATCATTAAATTGGCTCCCAAATTATCATTCCCCTTTGTCAAAAAGGGGAATTTTATCAATTTTATCCCTTATATAAAACTCCATTTTTAAAAATATTTACTTATTTCACTTAATGTGTTGATCTACTTGCCTATTTCCCCTTTTACACTGCTAGTTCTGATTTTCAGTCTGTGTACCTAACCTACTACACAGCTAGCAGAGAGACATTTATTTAGTAAATGCCATCTGAATGAGTGAATCTCATGAATTTCTAGTTACTGGTAATCTTTTCTTTTATACTAGCCATGGAAAAACTTACCAAATTCAGTGTTCAAAATAATAAACTAATCTTACTGCCAAGCAGTTAAAAATAATTTCTTACAGCCATTTTTATCATCCTTCCCAAGTTCATCAATGTATTTATGAACACAAATTTGATGTCTAAAGAAATGTGGTACTTCCACTAAATCATGTTCCATTTTTATTATAATTCGTACTTTGTTTGCAAGCTAGATTTTTCTCCCCATGTAAGTTTAGGCCTGTACTGTTCAATCCAGTATGCACTAGCTACACGTAGGCTATTTAAATTTTAGCTAATTAAAATGAGAGACCAGCAGTTAGTGTGATGGCTATGTCACTGAACTCCCATGTAGCCAACCGCGGTTCGAGTCCTGGACCCCGTGGCTTTAAACTCATGCCAGGCATGTGTGTGTGCGTGCCCAAGATCCGGAGAGAAGAATGGAGGAGAAGGGATTGCAGCGTGGCCATCCCCCCTAGGGGTAATTTCTAGCTTTCTATCTTTCTGTCTGTCTGTGTCTCTCTGGCGAACGCACACGCCCTATAGCAAAAACCTCTCCAAAAAAAAATAAAGAAAGTTAAGGTGGGCAGAAGGTGGTCGTGGTGGTTAAGGGCACTGGACTCCCACATGGCCAATCGAGGTTCAAGTCCCAGGCCTGGCGACTTGCTTTCTCACTTTCCCTCCCTCTCTCCCTCTCTTTTTCTGTCCTTCTCTAGTGAAATTAAAATGAATGAAAAAAGTTAAATAATTCTTTTAAATTTTTTTATTTAAAATTCAGTTCCTCAGTAGCACTAGCCAGATTTCAAGTGCTCAAAAGTTATACTTGGTTAGTGGCTACGGTTCTAGACAGCGCGGAGACAACATTTTCAACATCATAGAAGTTCTACTGGAGAGCTGGCGACATAATTATAAAAGGACCTCAGCAAACCTCACTTACTTTTTAGCTCCCACGATCCTCGTGCTCCTCTGCTGCTTAAAGGACGTGGGTCCAGGAGTCTAGCAAATCACAAGCACACGAGTGAGTGCTAGAGAACCTCTGAATCTCGACCACAAAAAGACAAATCTCCCGTGCCCGCAAGAAATGAAGCTTTCCTGGCGCAGCTACCTCAAACAGAAGAAAGCAACACTTTTTAGGAAAAGCGATCTGCCCTCTCTTTTTACACTGTAAAGGTGGGTGACGATACCAAAGCCTTTACCTTCCCGTCTCAAAACCTTGTTCCAGACAGGGGCTCTAAACGGGTGGCGGAGAGAGAAGACAACGGACACGGGACACACTGGGGATGTAAAGGAAATAGAAGCTAAAAGCCATCTAGAGAGGAACTAAGTCCAAGGAAGTGGCAGACAGACAGCGGAAAGTGGGAAAAGATAACGGGGACAGGTGGATCTAGAAGGGTGGGGCCTACGATGGGCTCAGATAAAAGCAACTCTGAGCATGGGACAAAAGCGAGGGACCGCGTGTTCCGGGCTCGACAGCGCTCCCTCTAAATGATAACGGTCAAACCAAGAAACTCACGGCGGGTACTGCACCGAGTCTGGAAGACATCACTCCCTCTCCACGCCTAACAATTTCACCCAAGGGCTCCGGCCAGACCAACGCCACTTCCGCTCGGCTCGCCTCTCCCGGATGTGGACTCGGCGCCGCCTAGCCCCTTTCTGAGCGTCTACTTCCGCCTAGCATCTTCCGAGGGGGGCTGCGGCCGGGGTGAGTCACGTGACAAGCCACCCCTTCCCCCTTCCTCTGAGACTCCGCCCCCAGCATTGCGGCGTGAGACCTGGGAAATTGTGGGTGGGGTTTGGGACGAAGGGGCGTGGTTTGGGGCGTACACACACACACACACACACACACACACACACACACACACCGTAGTACTGTCTGCATCACTTTGCAAGACCCCTGTATCATTCCACCCTTCCCTCTTCACTCACCCCACAGTGCACTCAGAGGCACATGGAGATCAATTATTGCCCCTTTATTGATCTTAGAAAAATTACAATCCCATTCTTGTCCCTTCTTCCTCCCCAGGTAGAGACACGTGAAAACCCTTTCATTGTTGAGAGCGCAGGAATTGGAGACAATGGCTGAGCGGGAAAGAAGCCAGGAAAGGGCAGCTAAGGGAAGACTTGAGGGAGATAATAAATAATAGGGGCAAATCTCTCCTTGTCTACTGTTTTCAGGCCTCCAATCTTGCCCTGCTTTTGGGTTTTTTGGTTCGGTCCCTAGGAGACACATTTGAGTAATTGTTGAAATCTTTACACAAACTATGTCTGGGCCTCTCCCTATGGGAACTGTGCTTGCGTCTCTCCTTAGGGGTAGTGCAGTGGCTCTTCTCAGAAGGATTGAGCTGGCTCCTCTCAGAGTGACTGCGACGACTCCTCTCAGAGGGACTGCGACGACTCCTCTCAGAGGGACTGCGACGGCTCCTCTCAGAGGGACTGCGACGGCTCCTCTCAGAGGGACTGCGACGGCTCCTCTCAGAGGGACTGCGACGGCTCCTCTCAGAGGGACTGCGACGGCTCCTCTCAGAGGGACTGCGACGGCTCCTCTCAGAGGGACTGCGACGGCTCCTCTCAGAGGGACTGCGACGGCTCCTCTCAGAGGGACTGCGACGGCTCCTCTCAGAGGGACTGCGACGGCTCCTCTCAGAGGGACTGCGGTGGCTCCTCTCAGAATGACTGCAATGGATCCTCTCAGAGTGACGGTGTCGGTTCCCCTCAGAGGGACTGCGATGGATCCTCTCAGAGTGACTACATCGGTTCCCCTCAAAGGGACTGCAATGGAGCCTCTTAGAGTGACCGCATGGACTCTTCTCAGGGAGACTGTGATGGATCCTCTCAGAATGACTGCATCGGTTCCCCTCAGAGGGACTGCGATGGATCCTCTCAGAGTGACTGAGTCGGTTCCCCTCAGAGGGACTGCGATGGATCCTCTTAGAGTGTCTGCGTCGGTTCCCCTCAGAGGGACTGGGATGGATCCTCTCAGAGTGTCTGTGTCGGTTCCCCTCAGAGGGACTGCGATGGATCCTCTCAGAGTGTCTACGTCTGTTCCCCTCAGTGGGACAATGGAGCCTCTCAGAGTGACGTAGATTCCTCTCAGAGGGACTATGGAGGGTTCTCTCAGTAGTACTGTTATGGGTTCTCTCATGAATGCTGCGAGCGTTCCTCTCAGAGAACCTGTACTGCCTCAGTTCAGAGGGACTGTGATGTCTCCTCTCTGAAGGACTTTGACGTTTATTCTTCAAGGGACTTCGATGGCTTCTCTCAGGGGGACTGCATTGACTTCTTTCTGGGGGACTGTGACATCTCCTCTCAGAAGGACTGCGATGGCTCCTCTCAGAGAGACTGTGAAGAGTTCTCTCTGAGGGACTACGATGCTTTCTCCCAGAGGGACTGTGATGCCTCCTCTCAGAGAGGCTACGAAGGGTTCTCCGAGAGGGACTGCGATGGCTCCTCTCAGAGGGACTGAGATGGCTCCTCTCAGAAGGACTATGATGGCTTCTCTCAGAGGTATTATGTGGGGTTCTTTCCCTCTGGAAGCTGTGGTGGTTTTGCCCTTTGCATGTGAGTTTCTCTTTAAGGTGACTATGCAAAGTTCTCTTCATAGGGAAAACAGATTGGATTCTCCCTCCAGGCTGAACTCTGGTTCCTGGTTTGGTCAAGTGCTTGGACCTTTGACTGGAGATTTCATCTCTGTAGAAGTTTTTTTTTGTTCTGCTGCTACTGTTATTTTGCACTGTAGCCAAAGGCTGCCTGATTGAGGTAGAATGGGGAGTGATACCTCTTTGGGAAACAGTGGGCTTGGGCAGTTGGAGAGGTCTGGATTGGAAAGAGCTCTCTCTTTTTGGCTGTTGAGCTGATCTGTGTTGGTCTATTCCTCCCCACAATATGTCCTTCTGCTTAGTGGTTAGGCCTGTTGACCTTAACTTGACAACTGGCATCTTGTCTCTTTTGGTATTTCTTGGTAATCCATGGTCCCTGACTTTTTGTTTTGGATGATAATTTTTACTAGACCACAAATTGTCTGGCCTTGTCCTGTTCTCAGGCTTCTGCCCAACAAAAGCTATAATTCTGTATGCTGTTTGGAATGCTTGCTTTAGGCCCTGAAAAAGCAGTTGCATAAACTTTGGTTGGGAGGATTTCTTAGGCTGTCTTTTAAAAGAAATACTTGTCTGAGCTGCTCCAATCTTCTTTTTTCTTATTTTGGATGGTAATTCCCTAGAGGGACCTCGTATTATGGTTTTACTATTTGTATAAGACTTTATGCTTTGTGTTCTAAGTTGCTTGGTGATTCTCTTCTTTGAATATTTTGAATCAAAGGCTTTTTTGGTTCTTACTTTCACCCACTTTTCACCCTGATTGCTATCCGTGTCACTCTCTGGTAGAGAGTGAAGTTGAGTGAATTCATAGTGCCCAGGCTCTCCAATTTCTGAATTTCCTACTAGGTCAGAGCTGCCATGTTGCTTTTGCGTAATGTGGACTTGTACAGAAGCAGGAGACTGGGAAGACCGAGACTGGACACCTATTGTGGGTGCAGGATTCTTGAAAGCTCGAGTATACATGTTGGGTTTCCTTTGTGATTGTGATATAGAGCTCCTTGGCATGACAGGCTGAGATGGCTCCTCTCAGAAGGACTATGATGGCTTCTCTCAGAGGTATTATGTGGGGTTCTTTCCCTCTGGAAGCTGTGGTGGTTTTGCCCTTTGCATGTGAGTTTCTCTTTAAGGTGACTATGCAAAGTTCTCTTCATAGGGAAAACAGATTGGATTCTCCCTCCAGGCTGAACTCTGGTTCCTGGTTTGGTCAAGTGCTTGGACCTTTGACTGGAGATTTCATCTCTGTAGAAGTTTTTTTTTGTTCTGCTGCTACTGTTATTTTGCACTGTAGCCAAAGGCTGCCTGATTGAGGTAGAATGGGGAGTGATACCTCTTTGGGAAACAGTGGGCTTGGGCAGTTGGAGAGGTCTGGATTGGAAAGAGCTCTCTCTTTTTGGCTGTTGAGCTGATCTGTGTTGGTCTATTCCTCCCCACAATATGTCCTTCTGCTTAGTGGTTAGGCCTGTTGACCTTAACTTGACAACTGGCATCTTGTCTCTTTTGGTATTTCTTGGTAATCCATGGTCCCTGACTTTTTGTTTTGGATGATAATTTTTACTAGACCACAAATTGTCTGGCCTTGTCCTGTTCTCAGGCTTCTGCCCAACAAAAGCTATAATTCTGTATGCTGTTTGGAATGCTTGCTTTAGGCCCTGAAAAAGCAGTTGCATAAACTTTGGTTGGGAGGATTTCTTAGGCTGTCTTTTAAAAGAAATACTTGTCTGAGCTGCTCCAATCTTCTTTTTTCTTATTTTGGATGGTAATTCCCTAGAGGGACCTCGTATTATGGTTTTACTATTTGTATAAGACTTTATGCTTTGTGTTCTAAGTTGCTTGGTGATTCTCTTCTTTGAATATTTTGAATCAAAGGCTTTTTTGGTTCTTACTTTCACCCACTTTTCACCCTGATTGCTATCCGTGTCACTCTCTGGTAGAGAGTGAAGTTGAGTGAATTCATAGTGCCCAGGCTCTCCAATTTCTGAATTTCCTACTAGGTCAGAGCTGCCATGTTGCTTTTGCGTAATGTGGACTTGTACAGAAGCAGGAGACTGGGAAGACCGAGACTGGACACCTATTGTGGGTGCAGGATTCTTGAAAGCTCGAGTATACATGTTGGGTTTCCTTTGTGATTGTGATATAGAGCTCCTTGGCATGACAGGTCTGTCTCTTCTAGGATTCTTTGAAACTTGGGGTCTTTTCCCAGTCCGCAATCTAAAGCCAAGATGCAACCGGATCTCACCATTGCCTTCTGGAGTGCTTACAAGGTGGAGCTGTGGGTAGATTAGAAGATAAGGCCCAAATGTGGCTGGTAATTTATGACAGCAATTAAATCCTGAGCAGCGGCCACACTGTAGGCAGACAGGGTATTTTAGGACCAGACCTGAAGCTAGAGGTGGAGGCACGTTGGGGGGTATTTGACTCCTTAACAGTTTTGCTGCTATTTTAAACTGCAGATCTTGTAGCAATTGGAACTGTTCTGATAAATCAGTCTTGGCCTGGGAAAGATAACTTGGCTT